ATTAAGCTCATCCCAAACCACATAGTGCGAGTGGACTGCATAAGTGCATCGCTGCAATTTGGCAGCAGGTCTAATGGCACCCTAATGGAGGAGGAAAATCTAAGTTCCGCTGGTTTGCTGTATCTTTATCCACTGACAGAAAATCACAAATTAGTACCGGTAATTAATTCCAAAAGGTCAGGTCCTCTTTGAAAAAGTTTTCTCTGACCGTAAACAATTGTTTTAAGATATTTGATTTTATTTCACCCTGCGAGCTACAGCTAAAACAAATTGGGCATCACTGTGTTGCTGTAGCAACGACCACATTCCTTTCCATCCCATTCTCATTTATACGCCCCTCCCACCACCTTCAATCAAGGTGCCTTCCAGAACTACGAGTTAAGACTTCAATGGTGACACTTGATAGTTAAGGGTTAGTGATTAGGGGGCGGTTTGGGATTCAGCCTAAATGCAAGCTGTGATCGCTTCTGCAGAGCTGTGTGCATATGAAAAATAAATAAATATCAATGGAACAAACCCCAAATGTTAAAAGCAAAAAAAGCCGGAAGAAAGGATTGTTTTGTACAAGAAAAAGAGAGTGAGCTCTGATCATTATTGCTGCACTAAAACATTTTTATGAACTATGGGGGAAAAGTTTATAAATAGCCTAATTAACTAGTAATGTTAAATCTTGCCAATTAAAAATATTTGATTGTGCATTTTACCACAAACCTCCATCCGCTACTTACAGCAGGAGGAAATCGCCAACAGACTGGTTGCAGCAGAGAGCTTTTAGTGGGGATTTCCAGTGCTGGCGGTATGTTGGAGGTCTGGCGCTCCCAAAAAGAACTTGCATATTTTAGTAGAATCATAATCCTGATGACCTGACTGCACAGATAAAGTTTTTAGGTGGAATTTCTGGCTTAAAAATGTGTCAAAACTATTTTTCCAACTCATAAAGTAAATAAAGCCAAGCTGTTCTCTAGATTGCAGCCACACACTGGGAAAACGACCTAGAAATATGTAGAAATTTCTTAAACTAAGTGTATTTATTCTTAATTTCAGTAGGTAAATGACATTGTTTGCCAGTGGAATGAGTATTTTTTACTCTTAAAATAATTAGATAATAAGCACTTGAAATATGACAATGCAATTGTGTTTTCTTATTTTAAGTGTTTTTTACTTTCTCAATCCAAGCAAAAATGCACTTATTTTAAGAAAAATTACTTATCTAGATTTCCATTTTTTCCCAGTGCAGAATAAAGCAGGTAAACAAGCAGAGCAACGAGCATCCAGAGCGTCAAAGTAACTTGACCACCATTTGAAGCAGCATCTAAATTTCGGCTTTTGAGCATTTTTGAAGCCAAAAACATGTCGGGTTGAGCACAGTTAGGCTAGAAGACCTGCATTAGCCCAAGTTCAAGTTTTTAAAACAAATCCTGCACAAACTGATTTGCAAACAGCAAATGTAAACATTGCACTGCTACAATACTTCTAACAAAAAATCTCCCTTCATGTTCCAGTGCACATTTGTAAATAATCACAACAAGATAAGTAATAATCAATAAAAAAAAAAAAAATTGAAGTCCATATTAAGGTATTGATTCAGCTTTGGAGTGGAAAAAGTGCTCGGAGAAGAGGAATCTCTCAGAATAAATAAATTTGCTCGAAGGCACTCTCTGCTCCTGTGTAAACAGGATTATAGTTGTATATCAATGCTTTGTCCTCTTCCTCCTTAGACGGAAACTTGTGGAAGTTTTTCCTCGCTACAGAGAGACAGAGACATGAGGAGATGTACGGATCAGAACAGGAGCAACAAATAAATACTCTGCTTTAAGACAACAAACTGCCTCCGTATTCATACCTTCGCCCACAAAGAACTCGGCCATGTGGAAGGTTGTTCTGACGGCCGATGGAGAGTGAGGAATGTAAGGTCTGGACCACTCAAAGGCATTTTTCTCTGGATGCCATTGTGTTCCATAAATAGGGTAATTGTACGCTGGATCGGAGGTGAGAGACGATAAAAATCGATAGTCATGACAGCTGTCCTGTTCTACCACACCAAAGGAAATACTGCTTTTAATCACCTTCAACGGTCGACACGAACTCCACGTTTCCATCGTTATTTGTTGAGAGCACTCTGTAAAAACTCTTCAGTTCCTCGTTTGTGTATAAAGCCTGAAACCAAACGGAAAAGATTAGTCACAGAAAAGCATTTTGTGGGTATTGTAGCCTAAAATCAGCTTTAAAGGAAAAATCTAATTCTGTTTGGTGACTAACTAAAAGGTCTGACCAAATATCGGCACGGTTTTTAATAGTTTGCCAACAAGGCTTAAAAATAAACGGATGGATACAGAATTGATGGAAACTAGAAAAACATTATTTTCCTCCCCCCCCCCCCTCCTCCTTCAGCTCATGCTATCCTTCGAATCCTTTTCCTCACTTGGTAGAAACTGTGACCATGTCAGGAATGATGACATACCAGCGTTGCCAGGCTCCAGTGGTGGGAGTTTTCTGTTAGAGGCTCAGAGGACAGAGCTCTCATGAGTTCAGGAGGGAAGGCCTTAAACATCCTGCTGCCTTTTACATCTGGAAAACAAACACACCATCCTCATCATTCACTTTAGCAAGATTTCTAAACCTGGCTATATTTCCATTTTGGGTTTCATTGTTTATACATGAGCTATAAATCTGGATTGAATCAGCACCATAACATTTTATAGCTACTTGAGTGTGATGCAATAACTGAATGATATATCCCAGTAAACCGATTTATTGCTTCACAAAATCATGGTTTATGGTTTCTAATCTCTCGCTAATAAATGACACACTTACCTTCGGTGAAGTTCAGAGGCAAAGCGATGCCACTCGTGTTGGTGAAGGACAGCAAGCTCTTTCCACTCGTCAAATACATGAGCTGTTCGAACCCAAGGCAGGTGCCCCACACAGGGAAATAGTCGCCCTGCTTGTTTGCCTGAAACATCTCACACGTTAAACAACCCATCATACACACACTGAAAGGCAGCTGCCTGTAGGTTCTCCTTTCACCTCAATGGCCAGATCATAGAAGGCTTTGGCAGCTCTTTGGTAACCAGATGAGATGATGCTGACCCCTCCGCCTGGGTACAGGACCCTGTCCCAAATACAGCACACAAACCGGATCACTGTAAGTAAGCCTAGAAAGTGCCAATGAAAATTGGTTTGATTCGTTTTGACAAGTTTATCAATGATCACTTAGCTTTTTTTATTGTAAAACTAACATTTACATGTAGTTTTAATCTACAGTTAAGTTGCTGTGTTTCCATCAACATTGTAATCTAAAAGAGTCTATAAGGACATCATGAGAACATAGAGACCATATAACCAAACCACACTTCAATCTCAAATTGCTTTCTATAGAAATAGTAATTATTTGTTGATTTGTAAAGGGTTTGTTAAATAATAGCCAATATTTAACACGGCAACATTTATACCAAATTAAATGTCCCTAAATTGGCTTTTGTTTCAATATAAATATCCATCCATCTTCCATCACACTTGATGTTGGTGGACAGGTGGCCAGTCCATCGCAGGGCAACACAGAAACAAACAGGACAAGCAACCATTCATGCACACTCACACCTAAGGAGAATTTAGAGAAGCCAATTTACATAGAAGTCATGTTTTTGGACTGTGGGAGGAAGCCAGAGTACCCGGAGAGAACCCACGCATGCACAGGGAGAACATGCAAACTTCAAGGAGAAAGACCCCGGGATTCGAACCCAGAACCTTCTTGCTGCAAGGCAGTAGTGCACCCCCACTGCTGCACCTCAATATAAATATAAAATGTTTTTATGTTCAAATGGATGCTTTTGTGTCCTGGTTATAAGTGTTGCAGGGGTTTATTTATTTCTTTGACATTTGTTTTATTTGAGTTAAATTGTAGAAGTGAAGCGTTTATCATGCTCTCATTTGTTTACATTATTAAAAAAACATGACTGTAATCCTAAGAGAGCATAGCTCACAACAATTTATAACCCACTGTTTTGGTATGGAGGAACAGCTCTACCATATTTAAAAATAAATACAGAAATAAATAAATGCTCAAGTATTTATTTATGTGCATGTTATAATATTTTAGTCTGCTTTATTCCTCTTTGTTATTTTTTTTTTACCCTATTTATTTTTTCAATGCAATTTATTTCTGCCTGTCGTTTTTTAATTTCTGTATGGATATCTGCTCATTGGTTGGTTAGCATTTTACTACAACAGACAAAAATATTATAACATGCACATAAATAAATAAGGTGATTATTACAAAGGTGAATACATTAAAAGAGATATATACATTTATGTGTCACTGTATAATTTCTGCCTATAATTGCTTGTTTATTGTATTTTTGGGGGCTATTAATTGTGTGCTTATTTATTTATAGAGCAATTATTTATTTCTGTATTTATTTTTAAATATGGCAGAGCTGATCCTTCATATTTGTGAGCTACCGCTAATTATATGATAAATCAGCTTTCTATATAAAGTTATATTGATCAAAATGTATAATTAAAGCCTAAATCAAAAGGGAAGTGACATATTGAATAAAGAAAACAAAAGTTGATGAAAAACAGAGCAAATTAAGGTGATAAAGAAGCTGTTTTTACCCGTTAATAGAGCTGAACAGGGTCTTGTATTCCTCCATGGTCATGTTTATCCTGTAAAGACGAAATTTAGCTCCACACCGGTGTTCATGACAGAAATAATGGCCGACAGGGCAGCAGCGCCTTACATGACGGGTACAACTCTGGCTCCAGCTGCCTCCAGAAACTTCACATAGGAGGCAGCGATGTAGGCCGTCTGGTTCGGTTTAGGGGAGAAAACCTCCTGAGCCAGAACACCTTTAGGAGACGAACTAGTTAAACATGACTGGGCATTTTAAGTCACACAGGTAACAACAGAGACATAACCATGTAATGAGCTCACCGATGATTGGTTCGTCATTTCTGGCAGCCGGTGAACAAAACAAAAGATTAATGAGCGAAATAAAAAGCAATAAAGAAAACATTTTAGCAGACGTTAAATGTCACGGCTAGAATGCGGCTGTTGATAAGAGAAATTATAAAACTTTATAACTTCCGCTTTCCGCCCATCAGAATAAAAGCGGGATTTCCGCTTTTTTTCTTTTCAAAATAAAACCATGTTAACCAAAAGTATAAATTGCTTTCTAA